CAATTAAAATAATAATAATAAAAAAGCATTGGTCAGGAAGAACACAATCTATTATTTAAAGATGCAAAGCATGCCATTTTCTCTTAATTCTTTGTCTTTTCATCTGATGTTATTTTACAAAAGCAAAGAAACATATAGCCATGTGCCACTCAGGTTTCATAGAATAACTACAATATAGTTGAAACCAGTTCACCTTTTCCAAGAGCTTTTTTTTTTTTTTTGACTGAAAAGACAACATAACAGATTTGGAGAAATGTAAAGATAATAATGTCACTAACAATCCCACCACCTTAACACAGAGATATTTTTGTTTTGCTGAATATTTCAAGAATTTTATATAACAGCCAAGCCAGAGTATTGTCAAGTATTCCCCATGTATCAACTCAGTTAATCATCACAACCCTACAAGTTAGGTATGAGTTAGGTTCTATTATTATCCCCATTTTATAGATGAGAAAATGGAGGCACAGCCAGATTGAATCATTTCCGTCAGTTCACACAGCTACTGAGTTAAAAAGTAGTATTCAATCCAGTTAATCTGGCTCCACCATAGTTATAATCATGGGTAATACTGACTCTCATCTAATTTACATCGTTCCATATCTATTGTACATACGATTTTATATTCTTCTATATTCATTCAACTCCATATAATAATCATCTGCCAGGGTTTCACATGGTCCTTAGTCCTCATGACTATAATTTTATGAGCTACATACAGTTGTATATGCTCTGTAAGTTCCTGAATTATTTTTCTAAAGCGAGCATTTGGATGTTTCCTTTTTTTTTTTTTGTAGTATAGAGAATAAAAAGATGCTCAGAATTGTGCATACATACTTATCTTTTAATATGTTTGAATAAAATATTTGGGGAATGTGCTCAGCAGAATTACCTGTACCCATGATGGTATGTCTCTTACTGCTCTTTCCCTACCAATTGGGTATGGTGCCAGTGAAAAATGGATGAGCCCGTTTCACAGTCACCAGCATTGGATGGCCTATAATTTACAATGTTTGTGACTTGAATGGGTATAAACTATCCCTGCAAATTGCTTTAATTTGCATTTTTCCAATCATTCCCTAACTTGAGAATACTTCTTCCCCTGTAGCCCTCTCATTTTTTTCTCTTATATCCCTCCTCTCATTAGAATGAGGAGTCCTCCTTGCTCTTACCTTAGTATGGTTCCACTCCTACCTAAAATCTCCAAACTAAAATTTCATGTCATCGTATTTTATAACCAACCAGTCTTCGTTACGCTCCATTACCTAGTGACCCTAGGTATCATTACTGTTATTTCTCCACTAATACCTTCTGGATCACTCACTTCTTCTGATACTACACCTGCTTCAGTTCTTGGCTATTTCAATAAACACTTAGGTGATCGTCTCGATACCCTGTCCTAGCAGTTCCCTGAACTGCTCCACGGTCTTGTATCTTCCTCCCAACCTCAGCCACTTGATACCATGTTTATCATGAACAAATACAGGGAAACCTGTGACAGCCAGAACTCAACGGGACTGTCTTGTTTTCTCAAGTTATCCACCTTTGACAAGGTACAGTCTGACCACTTTTCTATCACTCTCTATTAGTGAAAAATATTTTAGTTTTCCTTCTCTGACAGGTTTCTGCTTCACACAGGTTCCAGCTTTCGTAGGTTTTAATGTGTAACATTTTTCATACATATAGTTGTTTTCTCTTCCTAATCCTATTGAGTTTCTTCTTGTAACAATTGCAAGAGTCATTTTTCTAAAAGGAAATGCTCTAAATAAGATTCACTGTATCATTAAAATAGTATTTTCCCAAAAACATGAAAGTGACAGTAATATCTTTCTGACCACGAGTCCTAGTCTTTAGGTTACCTCCCCATGTACTTAGCGAAGGCTGTGATTCAGCGTTACTACCGCTAATCACAGGCTCCAAATGCTAGGGCCAAAAAGGCCTCTCAGACCACACAGACCCACTGCTGTTGAGTCGATTCCAACTCATAGTGACCCTATAAAAGGCATACAGAGGTGTTTATATGTGTATAATGGCCACAGAATCAGACTGCCTTCTTCACATTACCCTCAAGGCAAGAGGTCCAGTATCCCCTATGTTGTTGTCGTTGCTAGGTGTCATTGAGTTGATTTCAACTCATAGTGACATAAAGTGACAGAGTAGAATTGCCCCATAGGGCTTTCTAGGCTTTGATCTTTATGGGAGCAGATTTTCAGGTCTTTTCACCGGGGTGTCATTGGGTAGGCTTGAACTACCAACTTCTCAGTTAGCAGCTGTGTGCTTAACTGTTGCATAACCAGGGCACCTGAACAGACGCTATGCCCCCCCTTAAAATTATCTGCTAGCTGTCTTTCTTTGACATGATTGCCCTTGGTGTTTGCATGGTTCTCTGCCTTGTTCCTGCCTTTGCTCCTTCCTCCCTTTTCTGTCTCTCTTTCTTCCCTCCTTCCTTCTCTCCTTCTTTTCCTCCTTCTTGTTATGTTTGACTCCAGTGGCCTCCGAATTACTGTTAAATCTATATTCCGATGAATACAAAATATTTCATAGTGGCAAGCCCAATATTTTTATTTAAAACATATGTATTTGCAAAACTATACCAACATATACAGTACAAGAAATACACAAAAAGTTGATATAAAAATAAAGAGAGATACAACTCCTATTACAGTGAAACCTGTGAGAGCCGGAACTCAGCAGGATTGCCTTCTTTTTCCAGGTCTCGCAAGCGTTCCACCTTTGACAGGGTGCAGTCTTACCACTTTTCTATCACTCGTTGTCATGAAAAATATTCGAGTTTTCCTTCTCTGACAGGTTTCTGCCTTACACAGATTCCGGCTTTCACAGGTTTTACTGTATTTTCTTCTAGCACCCAAGCACTACTGTGCACACACCCCACTTTGGAGATAAGTAATCCAGACGACACAAGCCACCTTCGTGAAGCTGTAAAGTCTCTTTGGGGAGAGAATTAAACAAGCAGTTATAAGAAAATGTGGGTAGAAGTGCTAGGAGTTACGGTAGGAATACTCACAGTATGATCTGTCCAGATCAGCACTTCACTGCCAGAGATAACTTGCATAGGAAACAAAGACTACCTTTTTTCAGTTACACCCCTTTCAAAACCAGTTCGTCCAGGCTGACAATTTACACTTTGTACTCTCCACTGTTATACAGTAACAAGAGATATCTGGGTTCTTGAACAAAACTTTACATAGAGAAGGGTCCCTTCCTATCTACCACTCCAATTATCAGACACATAATGAAATCTACTAAAGGTTTACAAGGTGTCACTCGCCCGTGAAAGCATTTGTGCATCTGACTGGTGCTCAAACGGTGTTACTGACTGCCTGACTTGGATGCCTCAATTTTGTCTGCTCGTTCCTATAGACATTTTTTACCAAAAGCCTTTGGAAATGAGTTGGACACATCTGAAAGCACCAGAATTACCAAGTCTATTAATCAATTCTACCTTTGACGCATTGGTGACCCCGTTTACAGCACCTGCAAGACTCCTTCACCATTCTCCTCCTGAACTATGGCTCTAAAATCTACATTGGTTTTTCTATCTCCAGTTTTTCCACTTATAAATCAATTTCACTCACTTTTGCTAAAATAACTTTTAAAATAGATATGATCACATCATGTCAGCTCCAAAAACTATTGAGGGGTCCATGCTACATTCCGAATTAAGGTCAAGATAAACCAGGATACAGTTGGAAGACTCCAAAATCTTGACCCCTTCCAACTTTCCACCAATATCCTTTCCTATGCATTTTTTTAAAACTCCAGTTACATGGGTCTAGGAACTGTTCCTCAAAGACATTCTGAAATTCTTTCTCCTGAACATCAACCTTTCCTAAGTCCATCCATTCTGCTTTGCCTTGATGCATAAACTTCATCTCTCAAAAAAGCATCTCCATATTCCTCTCTCACAGTATTTTGTGTATACCTGTTATAGTTACTTCTGTTACACTCCCAAGTATATGAGAAGGATTATGCACATGGCTTTCTTTTCAATGAGAAATTGAACTATTAGATGGTAGAAAATATACTTTATTATTCTTTATCTCCTAGTATTTAGCGCATTTCTAATTTTGTAGGAGACATAGAACACTTTAAAAAAAAAAAAATACTGCATTGAATCTGACTACCATCCCCCAAGTAGGCTAGGATATATTTAGAGTTTATGGGTGTTCTTCCCTAATACTTGTGTACATTATATTTGTATGTAAAGTAGGGTAATTGCCCATATTTAGAATGATCTTGGCTTTAACATACTTCTTGATTCCAGTATTACTACAAAGGCTGGATTAGAGGAACAACAAATAACATATGTTACAAGAAGCCTTCCAATTTCCCACTAAGAACTAAGCCATGGAAGAGAGACCATATAGATTTCACAAATTATTTAATACAACCCATAAAAGACTATGAGATTCCCAGACACAAAGAACATGAGCCACAGATATAGTCAAACTACTTCAGAAATACCTTCCAAGGGGAAAGAAAAGTCTGACTTAATAGATACCAACTCAGAGATCTTGTGAGGTACTTGTATCTGAGGCTCAGACACAACAGACCCATCAGTAAATTCATTCCCAGTCAACCAATGTTGCTAAAGCTTTAAAAAACAGAGAAATTAAAACATGTTTTGCATGGCAAACTTTTACCAAGAGTTCTTCATTTTTATGTAGGAAATCAATTTGCATCACTGATGATATCATTCAAGTCAGACAACCCCAAGTTGTTAGGAGACAATTTAGTTTTACACGGAAGCAATCTGATACTTGTTCTGATTTGTGATTTTCATTTTGTTTGTTAATGAAAAAATTAATGAGCAATGTTACTGGAAATACAACTCATCAAAGCATCGGCGTTATTAGAGAGGTTGGCCATATACTGTACATTACGCTCATTGTGCAGCCAACGCCTGGACCTTTGTAACGGAGAAGATGTCAATCAAACAACACCGAGGAGAGCTCAGGAGAAGATGCACTTACACATACCTTTGCACTGATTTGTGTTTTTGTCAAGAATTGCCTTTGTAGATACAATTTTTCCATACCTAAAAGAGAGAGAGAGGGGAAAAAAATCCATGTTATTATAGCTCCAATGAAGACACTTAAAACACCTTAATGAACATCAGTACACACACAATTGAGCAGGAATAAACCAAGAAAACACATTCTGAACTCCCATTTCACACCTGGATGATCTCTTTTCACCAGTTCTTCTTGCTAACTCCGGAATGTGTTTTCCTACATAAGCACTGGGCTGAGTCTTAAAAAAATAAACCCGGCAGGCTGTCATACCTGGCTGAAAGGGGATTGCTTGTGATTGCGATCAAAGTAAATTGCACCCCGTGGATTCCAGGAAGAAAGCCTGGACCTCGGCGCCAAGCTGACCTGGGTTTGCCTCCAGCTCTGGTCTTACCTAGTGCTGTAACCCTGGACAGCCTACCTAAGTTCTCCAAACCACAGTTTTTTCATCTGGGAACATAAGAACCATAATATTCACAATTCAGGATTTGAAGGAAGGTTAAAGAAGATGTTGAAATCTCCTTGCAGTGCTCCTAGGATAAAATGGACATATTTTTGCTACTAAAAATAGATTCTAAATTAACTAAGGATAAGGCCAGAGTTTTGTATTATCAATGTCTGACACTACGTTGTCTGGTTGTTGTATGCTGTTGAGTTGATTCCATCTCACAGCAGCCTATAGGACAGAGTAGAACTGCCCCATAGGGTTGCCTAGACTATAACCTTTACAGGAGCAGATCCCAGGTCTTTTCACCTACAGAGCAGCTGGTAGGTTCGAGTCGCCAGCCTTCGGGTTAGCAGCTGAGCATTTAACCATTGTGCCACTAGGGCTCCTGCATATGACACTATAGGAGCTTAATAAATTTCCTAAATACATAAATGAATGATACAGTTTATCCAAATGTACTCTGCATTACAACAAAGTTTCTCCTATAGATATCTACATACACCATGCATATATACTTATTTTCCTATCTCTCGCAGAAGATTTAGTCTAGGCTTGGGTTTTTAAAATGACGGGTAATTTGGGGACTGTCACTCGATACCTTTAATCTCTAGTTTCCTTACGTATAAAATTATAGGACTGAAGATGTTCCGAAAATCCCTTCATTCTTTAGGATTCCAAAATGTTTCTGAATGGAGACATTATGATGCAAATCCAAGCGTCAAGTTTATTAACAAGTCATATTGTGTTCAAGGCATCAGTCACGTTCACCAAGTATTTCGCATTTTTTAAAATTCTGTTTTCCAAAGCAAGTGTAAAAACATATGACGAATATTGAAAATTCTGCTTTCCAATGAGCCAGGTTCCCTATTGCCAATTCTTCTTTAGCATTTTTAATCGTCTTTTAATATATCACTAAAACTCTTTTGAACCATTTAAAAACCAAATCAAACCCTTTGCCATCGAGTTGATTCCAACTCATAGCTATCCTCTAGGACAGAGTAGAACTGCCCCATAGGGTTTATAATGAACGGCTGGTTGATCCAAACGGCTGGCCTTTTGGTTAGCAGCCGAGCTCTCAGCCACTGCGCCACCAGGGCTCATCTGAGGCATTTAGTGTCCACTAATTAAAATCCACTACTGATAATGGCATAAGTATGAAAATCCTTTTGTATTTTTTTTCCCGACGTTTTGACAAAAATGGACAAGGGCCCCTCTAGATATTGATGGAATTAATGTAATGAAAGTGATTTTACTTGTAGCTTTGAACATTAGTCTGATAGTAGCTGAACTGTTGGAGGTCACAATATGTACAGAAATAGTTTGAATGATATCAAATGAAGAGGTCCAAGACAATTCTACCAGTCACCTCAAAGCTCCTCCTTTGTTAAGGTCAGCCAAAATTGGGATGGAGCTTTCCAACACTGAATTGGGCAGATTTTATGAGGAGAACCCTGAGATTTCAGGTACTTTCACCCCTTTTGTCACTGCCTTTCCTGTGCTATTATAACTCTGTTGTTGTTGTTAGGTGCCATTGAGTTGGTTCCAACTCATAGTGACCCTATGTACAACAGAACAAAACACTGCCATCCTGCACCATCCTCACAGTTGTTGAACCCATTGTTGCAGCCACTGTTTCAAATCATCTCCTTGAGGGACTTCCTCTTTTTCGTTGACCCTCTACTTTACCAAGCATGAAGGCCCTCTCCAGGGACTGGTCCCTCCTGATAACATGTCCTAAGTATGTGAGATGAAGTCCTACCATCCATGCTTCTAAGGAGCATTCTGGCTGTACTTCTTCCAAGACACATTTGTTTGTTCTTCTGGCAGTCCATGTATATTCAATATTCTTTGCCAACACCATAATTCAAAGGCATCAATTCTTCTTTGGTCTTCTTTATTCATTGTCTAGCTTTCTCATGCATTGTAACTCTACAGTCAACTAAGTCAAAGAATTCTAGGGATGAATTTTTTCATTATTTCTTCACATATGAAGAAAGCATGATCTAAAAAAAAATCAATAACTTGATTAAAATCTCATAATTTGTTAAAGTTACAGCAGGGACTTGAATATGGGATTCTTGAGTTCTGCAAAGGGCTTGACTATTATATGTTGCCATTATCGAAGAGAAGTTACATATATCAAATCTTCTGATTCAATTAACCTTCAAGTAATTGGGAATCCAGATGTTAGACTCCAAGGACAATGTATTATAGTGTTTAAACGGACATGAAGTGGCACTAAACTTCCATGGTTCAAATCCCAATTCTGCTTGGGTATATTTGTTTGTCTAAGTAGTATTTGATCTTTGTATCACTTTTTCACCTATAAAATGGGGATTATTATGTGTACCTCAAAGAGTTGTAAGGGTTAAATGGGGTTTATTTAAAGTGCTGAGCACAGTGGCTGGCACAGAGTAAGTGCTCATTAAATGCCAGCTCTTCTTCCAATTACTTTCTTCCTATAATCTGCTATTTAAAAATGCCTCCAGCCCTTGGCATTCCCCAAGGTCGATAAGAATGTTATGGAAAGGGGATAAAGGTTCTATTCCAAATGACAGCTTAAAAAATTATGTAGACTGTCAAAATTTCCCACTAAGACGTTTGGCAAGCAAAACTAATTCCTAAAGGTTTACATTATTATTTTTACTGTTAGGGAATTTATTAACTATTCTCACTATAGCTAATCACACCAATGCTAGTAGGTTCAATGTCTGTTTTATTTTGCATTACCAAACTGTTTATTACCTTACCCCTTTACCGTACAAGTCCACAGCTGCCCAAATCTCAATCTCCCTCTCCACACACACACACACACACACGCACACACACACACACACACACATACACACACGTCTCTCTTTCAAGCTCTTTTTCATCCTAAGAGTTTCTCTCTTGGTAAAATAACCAGAAAAATAAAATCATATTTGAACAGTCTCTTCAGTAGACACTTGTTCAAGGTATATACCACTATACCCACTAACCAGCAGTAAAGTTCACCAAGTTTGGGCTTTTCAGGCAAGGAAACATTCATAAAACTGAATATATTTTAGAGAAAGTTATGGGTTTGAATTTCCCCAAAAAGCTATGTGCCTATAAAATATGACTTACTTTGGGGAAATAGGTTTTTTCCTTTGCAGATGTTATCAGTTAAGTTATCCTTGTCATACTAGAGTAGGGTGGGTCTTAATCTCTTCTGAATGGTGTCTTATAAAAAGAGAAGCATACCTGGTGGTATAGTGGTTAAGAGCTTGGCTACTAACCAAAACGTCGGCAGTTCAAATCCACCAGTCACTTCTAGGAAACCCTAAGGGGCAGTTCTACTCTGTCCTATAGGGTTGCTATGGGTCAGAATTGACTTGATGGCAAAGAGTGCAGAGGGAAGACAGACATGATGAGAAGGAGGTGGATGTCTCTATAAGCAGCAAAGGAACACCAAGGTTTGCCTGCAGCTCTCAGAACCAGCAGAGAGGCATGGGGCAGTTCCTTTCTCAAAGCCCTCACAAGGAACTGACACAACCAATACCTGATTTGAATTTCTAGCCCCCAGAATTGTGAGAAAATCAATTTATTTTCTTTGAAGCCACCCACTTGGTGGTGTTTTGTTTTGGCCACCGAAGGGCACTCAAACAGGGTAGAAGCAAAAAGAGAAGAAAAAGAACTTTTGCTCAACCTTTCTTCTCACACAAAGCACCATTAATAGAGAATGTGAGAGGTAAACACCAGAGACAGAGAAAGAATTTAGAACATTTATAACCACCTCACATCAGGCACACAAACCCTGAAGACAAAAATCCTTCTTAACTGGTTTCAAAAGCTACTCCTGAAATTTTGTATAAGCACCTTCAAAATTAAAATGTAGCTGTCTTTCAAAGAGTAAATTAAAAAATTACTACATTTCATAGTGAATTACATGTCACAATTGAACTTGTAACCTATGGTGTGCATGTCATCTTAATATATGACTATTACAAGGATGTCATCTCCTTCATTCAAATTCGTCTATGTACAAAATGGCTATCATTTTTGTTTTTACAGCCAAAAGAAGTCAAATGCTTTCTCATGGAAAACATTTGTATTTTGGCAAAGAGCACCTTTCTTGAAAAAAAAAAAAAAAAAAAAGAATTTTATTTACCAGAAAGTATTACAGTACCAGAGCCCTGGTAGCACACTGGTTAAGAGCTCTGCTGCTAACCAAAAAGTCGGCAGTTCGAATCCACCAGCTGCTCCTTGGAAACCCTATGGGGCAGGTCTACTCTGTCCTAATGGGGCAGTTCTACTCTGTCCTATCGGATCACTGTGAATCAGAATCCACTAGACAGCAATGGGTTTGTTTTTTGTTTTTTATTAGAGTGTAATTAGGAATAGGGAACTCAAGAAATAATATAATTTGCTTTTTGGTGTGTGTGATTTTCTATTTATAGTAGTATTGTAATGTTGTGGTTGTGCAACAAACAAACAAACCCGTTGCTGTCGAGTCGATTCTGACTCACAACGACCCTACAGGACAGAGTAGAACTGTCCCATAGGGTTTCCAAGGAGCAGCCGGTGGATTCGAACTGCCAGCCTCTTGGTTAGCAG